ACATAACATAACATAACATAACATAACATAACATAACATAACATAACATAACATAACATAACATAACATAACATAACATCTATGTATCAAGCTTCACTCAAATCTGTTGTATGGTACACGAGAAGCAAGCAAAATTGTATACAATTGGCTAATTAATATACAAATATTATTCACGGATTTCAACCAAACACTAATCAGGTCTGTGCATTATCCCAGAGCATCTATGTACCAAGTTTCATTAAAATCTGATAATTGGGTCTTGAGATATCAGTGGAACATACACATAGACGCACTAACCGCAAAGATGCGAACACTAGAGCTAAAAAAAGGGCCGCCACGCTTACTTGGCACTGTCTTATAATAAAATGATTTATATTCGTCCATCCATACTTCTGCCAACCTTCTGTTGTTGTTATGAACAACTGTAGCTACTCCACCAGGGAATGTGTACGGCGATTTGCCGCGGAAAACATGGCCCACGTGTGAACATGGTACGATCTCCAACGTGCCACCACACATCCAAATCTACAGGACAGTAAGAATAATTAGTTATTCAAATTTATTCATATGATGAACAAGCATATACTCCAATGAGCGTGAGATTTGTCAAATGAATGGTTTTCAAAAATCAACATAATTCCTCTAGTGACAAGGCGCTTTCGTGATGTTTAAAGAGCGGTAGTCGTCGCGCCACTCATGCGCGAGATATATGGGTCTCATATAAAAGATGGCGACTTTGACTGTTGCGCAGATCAACGAGTATACAAACTGAGACGGTAACAAGCTTTAATTAGGTATTTTTTAGGTGATTGGAAGGTATCGAAATAGTCACCGGTGGTAATAAGTGCAAGTCGCACCCAAGTCAAACCTCATACTTGTGATTTCCATTACAAGAAGGCAATGGATTGTGGGAAAATCAGTGTTTATCAACACAAATGTCGCACATGCGCAGCGCGACGACCACCGTCATTTAAATTACGTACATGAGTGAAATCAATGTCCTTTGAGGCGACAGCTGTCTTTGATTGTAGTCATTCATCATTCACAATATAGTAAATATCTTTTAAAACATTTTTCTTTTATCGACGGACGATCACAACTAAAAACTTTCTTTTCATTCATACATTTCGTTTAAGCGCTTTGTCAGCAGAGGGCGCGACTCATTATTCGACACAATCGTATTCAGAATGTACATGGCATACACCATAAGTATAGTGCCTGAGGTTCTTTGAATTGTTATAAATAACAATTTTATCATTAACTGGAAATTCAATAGACCTAGGCGAAAATGACCGCCGAGATCTCGTCGTCTGCGAGAACCACGTGACTTGTTTTTGCCCCTCAAATCCTCAAAAGAACGACAAGTCTCGTAGCTCTTTCTGGACCCCAACGTAATCTCGGTGTCCATTACGAAGACGAAAACCCGCTGTCTATCTTTGTGTTTAACCTTTTCACCACTAGACTTTTTTCCCCAAATTATTCTACCCTTTTTTTATTATATTCTTCAATATTTGTGGGAATGAACCTTTGGAGCCAACAGAGAAAATTGAAGTCAATTTGCAGTTTTTATTCAAATCATTAAGCTATTTTTGTTCTAATCTTCTGAAGGAAAATGCAGACTATAAACGGGACTGTTTTGTGAATTTGTGATGAAAATAGGGAACTGGTGGTGAAAAGGTTAAAGTTTTTTTTAAGTGGAGATACAAATAACAGAAGAGCAATGAAGGAAAAAAATCGATTCAAATTACTGAACGTTAATTGTTTCGTTACGTGAAATTATATTAAATCGAAGGAGTCGTCACCTGCGCATGCGTCAGATGGCCATAGTGTGTCATTGTTTACAAGCAAACGTCTACCCATGAGCCTTTGTGTTTTAGCGTGTGTTATCGTCGCTTGGGACTCAATTCCCGCGCGTGCGCAGGTGATGACCCTCCCGCTTTAACTAATTCCATGTCAGAGAATTTAAATACTGATACTGTAAAATACTTTATTTTCGCTATTTTTGCTGAAGGATTGATTCAGTTAAAATAAAATCTAGGGAATGTATATTTTTCCCTATATTTTACATTCAACTAAAATAAAATATTTACAGTAATTACCATTTAAAATCTCGTGACAACTTTTTAAATTGTAAAAGACATGTACATGTAAAATACAAGCTGCAGGAACGTTATCTGTGATGTTCGTGTGGGCAGGGGAGGGTTATAGACAGGGTAAATTAAGGATATATGAGGAGGTTTCGACGGTACAATTTGGTATAACAACAAGCTGCATGTTGTATGTTGGAATTACATGTCGTAACATGTTATGCAAGATATGTCATATCATAGTGTGGAAAAATATAAAATTATTTAGTTTCCAAGTATGGAATGAAATGTTGTAACACGAAACGAATATATACATACGGTGTCAATCATAATTTGACTGACATCCACATACAGTGAAGATAGAGAAATATACAAAGAATACCCGTGATATGCAAATGAGACACATACCCTGAACGACATCTCTAAGTTTTCACCTCCCCAGATGTCCATACCTTCGTCATACGTACCAATCCGGTAAAAATATTCTTTATGTATTGAAAAAAGACCTCCCGCCATTGTGGGTGTGCTGTTGAATTGAACAGAATGAAAATATCTGAAGATATTGCTCCGGCATTGTAAGATCTTTAACGGTACTTTGTGTTTTATACCTAAATCTTTTACTCAAAACAAATTGTAAATCTCTTCAGACGCCGTGGATTTGATGATAGGCCATGATTTTGATCCTATTTATTATGTTTATTTCCTCTGTAGATTAAACACTTTGTTGAGAGATGCCAGTGCCTCAAGAAAATAAACGGCCATTATCATCCTGCCTCGTGGCCATACACTATGGCCTGTGAAACATACACGGGGGTTGACGATATAAACCGTACTCTGAAACTTCCATACTATTTCCTTCTGATTTATGCATCTATACATAGATCCCTAATTTGACAAGTTGCAGCAAATATGGCGAACAAACCCGAATCTACACGAAGCGTGCAATACAACTCATTTGCATATAATAAATTTGCATACGCCCAGTGACGTATTTATAGTTTGTGTTACGTCGACAATATGTTGTTTCACATTCAAACATTTATCGTTTCAATTTAACGGAAAGTATCAATATTCATCTGATAATTATATGTAAATCTAATAGAATAGATTTAATAAATAAATAAATAAATGCCGAAAAGATCTCGTTGAAGGCGAGAAAGCCACGAGACTTGTTTTTGTTCCCCTTTCCCATTCTCCTTCCCAGTATTCCTTGCGGTTAGATCACCGAAAGTATATATTCGTAGAAATAGAACTCTGCCTCCAGTGGGAGATTGCCCCTTTCTCTTATAGTGTTCCTTTCTCTCCCGCCATCGCGCCCACTTCTTAACTGACTTGTGTAACCATGGTAATTGGAGCAGTGGACGCGATGACAGCAGAGAATGGAAACACGTTTGGGAGGCAAACACAAATCTCGTGACTATCTCAGTCTCACTGTCAACGAGACCTCAGCGGCCATTGCTTCGAAGGCCAATGCCGAAATTGTAAAATACGCACATTCAGAAAAATTCTGGACTCTGTATTAACTGTTTGAATCCGTAATTAACGTTTTTACATATCAGCTCTAAATGATTACAAAATGAGCTTCATATTTCATCTAAAAACTTACTTAATAGGAATGGTTGCATCTCCTTTTCTTCTCTTTTTTTCCCGTTTCGACATCGGATACCACCGGAAATTAAGTCTCCAGTTGAAACCACCACAACCCAACTCTGGTACAGAATTATATTCAAAAGTCTCATCGCTGATGGAATCAATAACTGGAGACACCACTCGGGTTCTGCAACCAAAGCATGTATTCGTATACGTAAGTCTCAGAGTTTTACCGACTTGTAATACGTTAAACCATAGAAAAAGCTTGTCACATTACGACACTTCCTCGCGCGAGTACATTACTCAATTTGGATTGAAATGAACTAATAACTTGGTTAATAAAAGGAACCACCGAACTCATATTGCGTAGAAAGTAAAGGCTCCAGCTGCAAATTCGTTGATTCGAGACCAATCTTTTGCTAAACTTTTCAATTGTTATGGAAGTATTCTTATCAACTATAGACGCGGTGGTCGTCGCGCAGCGCGTGTTCGAATTTCATGTAAATAAACAATGTATTTTACACGTGTTGTATACGTCGCTGTGAGTCCCATATAGAACAGGACGCAGCACGACGACTGCCGCCCTTTAATGTTCAAGTTAACACCATTATCATCAATGTCCTGTACGTCTGCATATACTTACATACACTGCGTTAACTCATACTCACCGATCCTCCGCTATTCTCGCTATGAGTGGCTCCAGCCATCCTTTCGTACACTCGCAATGGGCATCTAAGAAGGTGAGCACCTCTCCGGTGGAAATCGCGGCACCACGTAATCGCGCACCGACTATACCACTTCGTTCCGCCATGCGCACCACTCTGACCCGAACGGAAAGACCTCTGACGTAATCGTCCAGTTGTTTGCCAAGAAAATCTGTTAATGAAAGTTTTAAAGACGATGCCTTGAGTAACAAATATGCAAGATACAATCTGCGCCTAGACATCGCGTCACGTCACGCTCATTATGCGACGTCTACGTATAATGTATATTGTATGTTTATACGAGATTAAAGCGCACAGTGGTTTCCATGGTGACATAGCAACAATGGCGGATTTGTGCGCAAACCAATCTGATTAAAATCTTATGTAGTGTACGTGCTTTAATTATTTTGGCTATAAACTTAATTTTATTTTATTTTTTATTACTTTCGTTATTAATGCCTTTTTATTTTATTATTTTACTTTGATTTTGATTTTGTGATTTTTTTTTAATTCCGCCCACATTGGCTTTCGCAAATACCAAAACTTCAAAAAATAAATATTAGATCAAAATAAAATAAAAATATAAAAAAAAGTCAAAACTAGGATCTTATTTTAATCAGATTGTGCGCAAACCTGAATCAAACTTTGAAATCAACCATAAAGATAATAATGACATAATAATGACAACAAATATTGGCTATAACTGTTATTTGATTAAAACATACCTCGTTCACTGGCATCATCTACTAAAATAATTTCTTCTAAGATCTCTCTGGGTGACCTATTAATAATACTATGTATATTTCGTATAAGCGTACTCCAAGCCTCGTTATGAAATACTATAATGATACTAGTCGTAGGGAGTTTCTGGGAAGGCGGGTATATTTTCTTTTTACACCTTAAAGTATGTAGAAAGGAAAACAATTGTTAGAAAATAAATAATGAGTGAGTGTGTATTTATATAGCTGATTAAAATCAGTTTAGCTGAGAAATGTCCATGAACGCGTACTCATGAGGTATGTAAGTCGACTTACAGGTTGAGTATCGAGTATTCCTGATTTATGTATCGAAGAATGTACGGTGTTTTCATAGGAGCTTCGAAATACAACCATCCCGTAACTCGCGTAATAATTTCTCATCAACATGTATGTATAATTGCAAATGCTTTGTTTTCTAAGCGAACAATAATAACCATTAATTACAATGCACTACCCTGCATTAAAATATATTTGCATCCCAGTCCACTATGTGTTCACTGTCTCTATCCGATGAAAAATTCTAATTCAACACCATCGACAGAGGCGGTGGCGCGAAATTTTGAATGGGGGGGGGGGGGTTCTAAGGGGTCCGAGGCATGCCCCCTTCCCCTGCCGTCGCCACTGATCGATTGTGTCAAGATTTTGAATGAAAAGCACATCACTAAAATATGGCTTCATAATATTCAAGTTATCGGTTGGTATTATGCAGATCACAAATGGGTTAAAAGGCAAGTGATAATAGAACAAATAAACACACTTACCCATCTATTCGGACATCTGGAAGAGTTCGGTTGACGGATATTTTATTGCTAGCTAAAAGATTGAATTGGTTTATTTTAAACATCTCCTTTTTAAGTTCCTCTTCCTCCGGTGGTATAATGACCGGCTGGCCCATTTCGCCAGGGCCTTTGAGATCCACTAGAACACGAATAAAATATGAATGTAACTAGGCACTGTTGGAAAGTGCACATACATGTATAATATATCAATTAAGCGTATAAAAATAAATATGCATCTTTAGACCCTTTTCAGTTGAGACGGCGAGATATATTTTCCAATTTAAAGCGGGGAAGTCGTCACCTGCGCATGCGTCAGATGGCCATAGCGTGTATTGTTTACAAACAAGCGTCTACCCATGAGCCTTTGCGTTTTAGCATGTGTTGTTGTCGTCGCTTGGGACTCAATTCCGACCCTCCCGCTTTAAAAGTGAAGTGCAAGAAACCATTTGAGTCACAAACACACACAGATGGCAAAAAATATACATTTCTAGTATACACAAATTTCACCTTTGTATGATAATAAGAATTATTTATCATACATTTTGCTGAGAAAACATTACACTTTAGCAGTCCTTTAAAACTCCAACAGACGTGTTCAAAAGTGTTATAGACGCACTCTAATTAGCATAATGCGCTCCATATTTACGTAACAGTTGAATATTTACATGTAATGGGAATTGGTAACAATGTACTTGTGCGTCATGGTGAAGTGAATCCACGCGACTGAGCGCAAACAACCGCAAACGCACGAATTTCTTAAAGGGTGGTAGTCGTCGCGCCACGCATGCGCGAAATATATGGGTCTCATATAAACAAAGATGGCGACCTTGACTGTTGCGCAGATTACGAGTACAACTGACACGTTTAGATTGTGGGAACACCTGCGTGGCGCG